TAGGTAAATTTTTATCACTTAAAGACGTTGAAAGTAGTCTTTAACGAGGATTAGAATGCAACTTTATATTATACTAGTAGGTCTGAACATAGGGGAAATTGTACTCTCGAGTTGACATATAAATTAAACCGAACACGATATAGAATATAAAAACAGAAATTAGTGAGATTTTGTTGCAATGGGGAAAAAAGAGAGTTCAAATCAATACAAACATCCAAATTATACATGAATCTCAATGACCATGAATTAGAAATTGACACGGAAAAAAACTATAAAATATGTCCTTGACGTGCACCAATCAAAAGAGACCAACTTTCTAGCTGACAACTGAACTAAGAGACAGACTTTCTAGCTAACAACTGAACTAAGAGTTCAAACTTCGTGTGCATGAATGAATACAGAATACAGACTTTCTAACTAACAATTGTACTAAGAGTCCAAGCTTCATGGTCGCAAATGAATGGAGAATATACCAGGTGAGGAGAAGAAACCATGCACATTCACATAAGAGAGACAAACTTTCTAACTAACAACTGAACAGTCCAAACTTCGTGTTCGCAAATGAATAGAGAATATACCAGGTGAGGAGAGGAAACCATGCACGTTCACATAAAACAATATATATATATATAGAGAGAGAGAGAGAGAGAGAGAAAGAAAAGCAAACTTTTATATAAAGCGGCAACATAATCACAATAAAAGCTCATCAATCAGGTCATGGGAAGCTACTATTTCCAATCAAAGCTCGAGGAAGCTACAATTTGAATATTGATTTGTTCCAGTCGACAAAAATGGAGATCCAGAGATGTCATAGATCATGAGCTTTTATAGAGAGAAAAAACATGCAACATAAAAATGCAGAACTTTAGGAAAAAATACAGAACTAATATGTTAGATAAGGAAGCCTAATCGGACAAATGTAAAAATGCAGAACTATAGTGAAATTACAGCACTATCACTAGTTATGGAGCCTATTCCACACGGAGGATATAATAAAGCAGCAAGCATATCTTATGTATGCAACTTTGTTTAGTAGTACCGCGAGCCAGTCTCATAAACTCGTCCCCCAGGATATGCCCCTCTAGCGTCCAAATTAGGATCCCATCCAGAATTCCCAAGAAACCGAGCTCGTTCTCTGAAGGAATCGAAATGTTCAGATTCATAATTTTGATGTGCTTGTCCAGGCGCAGGTAAGTTTGTAACTCCACTATTGCCACGAGGATCACCGGGGCCAATGCCCCCATTCATGTAATGATCCATTATTCCTTTCTGGTACTGATGTTGTCGTGCACTTGATTCCCTTTGAAGCAACTCGTCCCGACGACCAGCATGCCGAGCTCGAAGTGCTGCCAATTGTTCCTCATACTGAGCATTGATTGCCATAATTCTCTGAAGATGTGCATCAAAATGAAGTATGTTTGGTAAAGACGATAAGAAAAAGCAAGAATGCAGCTCATAATAACGAAAGTGAAACGGGAATATACAAATATACCTCTCTATGTCGAGCATTTTCCTCATCCTCTGCATCATTTTGTTCCTTGGCCAATTTGATTATGTCATCGATAAATTTCTGCTCAAGACCGTCAAAATTCTGTGGCAACAGACCATCCCCAAACCTATTTTCCATGTTTTTTCCATGGGATTGAGATCTGGGGTCGCTATTACTTCCTTTCTCAAGAACCAATTTTGAATTAGGTCTCTGTCCTTGAAAGTATGATCTTGTGGCATCACCCCCTTGACCTATGTTAAACAAACATATTTCTCACTACAGGAATTACAAAAACTTTGTTTGACAAGAAAAGGCAAAATCCTTCCCATGCCATGGAGAATTGATACAACCATCTAAATGATATAATGACGAATTTAGCAATGAAAAGGAAAATATCTAAGTGGGGGTAAGGTAGTAAAGAATTTAGGATAAACAATGACCAAAAATCAGCTCTACAAATAAACAGTTAACAGCCTGATACTATGAGGAATATCACATCATTCAACCATTATGAAAGGTAGGTACATTGATTTGGCATCAATGAATCATTTTATTCTTGTTAACCACATGTATGGAACCCTAGCTAATTGAATTATCTACATACTATTGTCTGACCTCGGCTATAAATGTATTTTTTGGATAAGCCCCACAATACTTGGAGTCTAAGATTTTTCCTTTCAAGCTAACATTGGAAAAAGTGGAGGAAATGAAACAACAGATCAAATTCATATGCTCTCCAAGTATAGCTGACAAACATTAAAAGCATTCAATGCACGGGTTTGAAAATGAAAAACAATTCTTGATAGTTTTTGAGAAAAGAATGGTGAATCTAAAAACATTAGTGGTTACATTTCTTATTCGATAACAATCTGATAATTCATCTTATATCCAAGAATTATATCATTTAAAAGTAAACTTTATAAGTATATAAGCCATAAGGTAGCTAGCCATGTTGTTAACTTCACTTTTCATTTTCCCAAGGAAAAAACTCCACATAGAATAGCAAGCACAGGTGGGAATCAAAGAATGTTGAAATTGATTTCGATAAACAAGCACGTAGGATTGTTTGTTTTTCATTCTCTTGAAGAAGGATATTGTAATGCGTAAGTGCAAAAACGACTTCTGAAGAAAACAAGTGCAAGCAACTATTAGTGACAGGAGTAACAATACACACACTATTAATGCTTGCCTTCATTGAACATGTGAGAGGCCATAGAGTTTGGCATCTTCGACTCATCTCTTTCCCATCTCCATTGATCCTCATTTTTTGAAGCTACAAATGAATTCTCTCTTTCGGGAGTGAAGGCTTCCAACCGTCCTTCAAAAGGATCAGGGTGGCTTTGTTCCACCCTTTGACTAGGAACATGATGCATTTGAGAACCAGAATATGAGTTTAGTCCTGAATCAGAATATTGCCCCTGCTGCCTCATTGTTACGAGCACCTGTAAAACAACAAAAAGATTCAGTTCAAGTCACATTTTCAAGGAGATCTATCAATCAATCAATAAAAATTTGAAAACCAACCATCCCCAATTCCAAACCGACCCCTCCCTCAAACGAACAAACAAAAATGCTAGAGCTGAATGAATTATAGCAACCGAATGTATCGTGGGGGTGATCAAAATGAAGAAAGTAGAAAGGTTTGAGTAAGTTCTGTAAAATATCAAGAAAAACGCCTTTTTTTCCTCCATAATTTGATAGTAAAATGACTAATTCTAGCTGAACTATAAGTGAAAATAGAGAGTTCCAGACAGTGAACAGGCATAAACACATATTTAGGTCATTCTGTCTTCAAGCATCTTCAACGAATTAACTCCCCGATATTAGGATAAAACATTATTCCTTTCCAAGCTCCCACGCAACCTAAATACTTCGGGAACATAATCCTCAAACTCAGATCATTTAAACCGAATCGAAGTAACTAACAGCCCAATATTTAAGGCATTTTTTAAACTGAAGTGGCCATGACGTCGTATTCAAATACTTCATAGCTAGCTCACTTTCCGATGAATATACACACGAACACTTGCAATAACACCATTTTCAATACCTCGACAGATAAAAACAACTACAAGAAACACGAATTCATGGACCAAGAAGCAGCAGATGCGCAATTATGAACCCTAATCATTACTCAATACCGAAGGCAACGCATGTAGAACGATACGATATAGTAGCAATTATTGCAGACATGGCAGAATTTCGATCGAACGCATAAAAATTTCAAGAACAGAACGTCGTTGTACCTAATATGATCTTTTCTACAATGGTCAGCCTATCTTCTCAATGCTGAAATCGGAGCCCGCAGCGTCTCAGCGAAGTGGAGGTGCCAGATGAGAACAATCCAATTCGGGTCATGTCAGATCCGGAGCGCGCCCGTAATAATGACCCGCTAATACAAAACCCTCGCAGCCCTTGATTTGTTGGAGATCCCGCCTGTAATGTTTATTTACTCTCTAATTTTATAATTTAGTCACTAATTAAAAATAAATAAATAGTTTTAACAAATTTATGGTCTTAGTTGATTAATTAAAAAATCATATTTGTTGAAATTACTTTTTTAATTTCTATTTTTTTCTTTTTAAAATTTTATTTTTTCTTTGGGTCCCGATTGATTATGTCCTTGCAGATAAATTTCATTTCAATATCAATTTTGTTATAAGGATCTTCGTGGTGATGTCATCATGAGGTCATCTTCAATAAAGTTGGGTCGTTACTCGATCAAACTATTTCTCAAATTGATTGTGTCCGAGACTCAAGTCATTGTCTTCTCGACCATCGACTAACCCTGTTGGACCAATTATACTGCATTTAGCGAAACTCACATGAGTTGACCCCAACGAGTTTTGGCCGTTACTCGTTTGAATTGTTTCTCAAATGGATCTCGATTGATCGTGGTCGAGGCTCGAGCCAATGTCTTCTCGACCATTGGTTGCCTCCAGTACAATCGGTCATATTGCCTTTGGGGGTCAACCCTAACAAGTTGGAACTCATTGATTGGGTAAGCCCTATTTCTTAAATGGATCTTGATTGATCGTGGTCGAGGCTCGAGTCAATGTCTTCTCGACCATTGGTTGCCTCCAATATGATCGATCGTATTGCCTTTGGGGTCAACCCTAACAAATTGGAACTCTTTGATCGGGTCAGCCCTATTTCTTAAATGGGTTTTGATTGATCATGGTAAAAACTCAAGTGTTATGATCTTATCGACCATCGGTTGACCCTCGTGTGGGATTGGGTAGAAGGGTTGTTATCGACTCGAGTCATTCTCGTATGACTCGAGTCTCAACACAATTAGTCGATATCCATTTGAGAAATAGTTGAGCGAGTAACAACCCAACTTTATTTGTTTATCGTACTCTAAACTTGGTAAATTACAATAAATTTTACACCGAATAATCGAGAATAATTTTCGTTAGGGTTTTTTTTTTTTTAAATAACTGACGAGAAACATTTATTTCAATTTAATTGAAATAACCAAAAAATACAGTTTCTGTAAACTTTAGCGAACAGCTGTAAATTCAACTTACAACACACAGAGAGGTTTTTCTTCCCTTTTCTGTTAATTCCCAGGTCAGGCGATAAAGCGAGCAATTTGGGCAGACGTATATAAGAGAAACGCCCGACAAAATGGAAGGAAGCAATCTTCATTATGCTGGAGAAGTCTCATCATTGAGTTTTATACACCAGGATCCTCAATTTTGCTTGCTATGGATCGCTCAATTCTCAGGTTCAGGCATCGCCTCCTCGCTTGGCTTCATCGATCTCGTTCTGGTACCTCACTTTTCCGCTTCGATTCCTGCTTTTTCTGTGTTTGTTATCTTCGATTTTTAACGAGTTGGTGATTTGTTAGCGAATTTTATATTTGATCAATTGTATTCTGTGAAGCTTTCAAACTTTGATGTTTGTGGTTGAATTACGAGGCCTGTCTATAGTTTGGCTCTGTACTGTAATGTAATTTGGAAATTTGACGTGATGTGGTGCTGAACGTTGACTGCATTTTCTTATGATATTTTTCTGAGCGAAATTACTAAAGGATTTTTGCTTAGCCTCAAATTTATGCAACAATAATCGTATGAATTATCGGAGAACGCATTTCACTTGAGGAATTCATCGTTCAAATGTTTTTAAATCTCGAGTAATTGTGGACGGTATTTTCCTTACCTCATTTTCTAATGTTAGTCCAATTGGAGTTGGCTAAACGCGTTGACAGCTGCTCTTAGTTGATTCGAGTCATATTACATATCCAATCATACACATAGAAGGATTATACAATAGGCGTTTTTCTTTATGTTTTTTGTGATGATATGTTTGTCCCTTTCTGCATTTTTCGGCTCTCTAAAATCCTTCTGCTTTAGATCATCATCATATCTTTATCATCTGTTTTTCTGCTGTGAAGATCTCTTATTTTTCTATGTGAAAACAAGTACCTAAATATAACTCTCTTTGGCTTTCCATTTCAGTGCCAGTATTAAATGTGAAGCGTTTTCGGTACAAGGAAATAAAGAGGGCAACCAGTGGGTTCAACAGAGTTGTCTACAGCAATTCTCGGAGTTCTGCTTATAATGCTAAATTTCAAGATGGCAGAGTAGCATTGGTAAAAGAATTGAGATCTTTGAGTGACAATGGCTTCATCGCAGAAGTGCAGCTCCTTGGACGCTTGCACCACCGCCATCTTCTTACATTGAGAGGCTTCTCCACAGGGCATAAAAGGTTTGATGACTCTTGATATAATCGTAATTTTACCCATAATTGTAGAAGTTACTGGTATTATTAAACTAGTTTTGGAAGAAACATTTGTGTTTTGAATCCTGTAATATAAAAATAATGCACATTAGGCCATTTAGAGAAACCTCCACTCGCCCTCCTCTTGCATTATATGGTGATGTTGCCTTGACAGCCTCAATTGAATGAGGACAGTCTTGGCTTCAACTGTGTTTGTCAGAGACTTGTCCCTGACATGGATGGTTTGAGGAACATAACACTGAATAAAACAAATGCAGCGTGCAGTAGTGGATAGTGCTCTCTTTAGCATCGCATTGTTCATATATATGGCTACCTTTACACTGACTTTGGCTAGTCACATCGGGGCTCCAATGCCCATGCAACCATCCGAGTATATGGACTGTCACCTTGCATTTCCCTAGAAGTCTGTAGAGTTTGAGCAGAAGTGTCGATTATAGTATTGCTATTCCCAATGCAGCGTAAAGTGTGTCAGATGCCAATAATCTTGACACTCTGTTACATGATTGTTTACCCGTACCTGACATTATTACTTTATGCATACCCGGATGCAATATAGTAGAATAAGCCTCGATGACATAAATCTATCATTCTGAAGGTTGGATTATTTGAATAAATGTTGGGATATTTTGATCAAGTGAAAGAATTCGAGCCATAAGATAGGTTGTACGGAGTAGAACAAGTGCAAAGTCCGATCATCAAGAAGAAGAAGTTAGTCTAATCAAAACATTACTACATACAGGAAGCAATCTTTAAGCAGTTTTTTATATGGACTTGTTCTGTCTCAGTTATCATGTGCGTCTATTATATAATACGATTCATACCTGTCGTTTGACATGTCAAAATTTCCATTTTTCCCTTTTGATTCTATGCAGATTGCTCGTGTTTGACGAGATTGGACATGGAAGCTTGAGGGATCATCTTAATGGTATCATCGAGAACTGAGTTGATTGAATGCATACTTTGTGCACGTTTGTCTTATGTGATTGAATCACGATGGTCTTCTGTGACAGATCCTCTCAGGACTCCCTTGAGTTGGAGGCTGAGGCTACAAATAGCCGCAGGTGTAGCTGCTGCACTGGTGAGTTCTCTGACTTTAACAACATTGTCACTTGATATATCACAAGCTCCTCAGAACCTCTCGTATGCACACTCAAAACATTTACAAAAAGACAGTTAAATTATCTTTGATGCAGGAATACTTGCTTCTTTTCACCAATCCCCCAATGTGTCACGTATCCATCAGTTCAAGCACTATCATTTTAGACGAAAATTTCACTGCAAAGGTACCAAAATGATCTTTTCGAGTAAAACCGAAGTAGAACTTGAAGCATAAAATGTTTTTCTTCCTTTTACTTGCTCAGATATCTGATATTGGCTTTCACTGCACCCCCGCAAACATTAGTGACTGTCCGGATGCATCAAATTCAGATGGTTAGTTTAGCCAATACAAGAACTGCTCAAGATTGGCATCATCACTCTCCAGATTATAACTGTTCCTTCCCTTTCCATTACTGCAGATTTTAAAGATCAGAAATGTGGAAACCTTATCTACCAGCTTGGAGCTCTAATCCTGGAACTCGTTACCGGACAATCGTCAGATGGAACAAGCGCCGACCTTATCAACTGGATCGAAGGGACGAACTTTGCCATGTCAATGAACAAGATGATCGACCCCGATCTCGGAAACAGTTTCGACTACAAAGATGCAAGAAACCTTCTATCAGTAGCGAAGTTGTGCATAAAGTCCAGAGAAAAGCCAAGATTCTCCATTCCCCAAATTTTCCGGTATCTGCAGAGTAAAGTATATGCGCCTAACTGCTAGTATCTCTTCTTCTTCTTCTTTCTTCTGTTTTGTTCAATACTTATTTTTATATCCACGTCAATTGATTAATTTTATTAGGAAAAAATCGTTATTTTGTTTATTTATAAAGTTCACATAAGATAACATTGTTCATTAAAATACGACCCATTGCATATTAAGATGTATTTTAATATATATTTGACTAAGAATATAATTTTTAATTAATATAAAAACTGACAGTTCAAACCATAAAGCACCAAAAAATAAAACATTGATTCTCATGCTATTTTCCAAAATAAATGGCAAGATTCTCACTCTTATGACAATATTAAATACTACATTGTTACATTTGTCATCAATCTTATTATTTTCATTCAATAATTTGCTCTGCCTACCTTTTCAAGAATGGAAATATTTAAATCATGAATTGTCACACTTATATCATACTTTTCATTATATACTGTCAATTGCATTTAATAAAGCTACTATATGAAGCATATAGCTTTATGTTATAATTTTCCTAAGTCACATGTATTCAATTTATTCCTAAGATTGAAACACTCCTACCTTTAATTTTGAAATAAATACCATAGAAAATTAATGATAGTTATAATATAAGTATAAATTCTACAAAATTTAAAGATTTTAATATATTATGATTAAAGTACACCGCACATAAGCTCTCATAATAAATTAAATATATATCATTTTTTAAACTAAAAAAATAATAGAAATTATTTTTCAAAATGCAAATTTTAAGGAAAAATAAAATAAAATCGATGTCATTACGCATATTACGAAATTAACCCTTTAAAAAAGTTGAATGACATGAGGACAGATGGGTGGCATGCATGGCAATGCATGCATGGACCCCATAACACTTTTTTAGTATCACATTTTGGTAATAATTATGGCAATTTATCTGTCCGCCGGCCTTTATTTATTTATTTATTATTATTTTTTATCTCCCACTTTCAAGATTATATTTAACGTCTGATACCAGAATACGACTGTATGATATTGTCCATTTTCAGCATAAACTCTCATGGTTTTACTTTGGACTTCTCCAAAAGGTCTCATGTCAATGGAGAGAGTATTATTTTGTTATAAACATATGATTATTCTCCCAATTAGTCTAACATGGTATCAGAGTCATACCCCAGATAGATTGGTAAATCCTCAAATGTCAAACAAAGGACTCCAAAAGAAAAATGAGTCAAGTCTCCTCGAAGGCAGTAAAAAATGACTTAGACTCCAAAGGAGTCGAGTCTCGATAAGAGGAGGCGTGCTTTGTTCGAGGGGAGGTGTTACAAGATGAAAGTTCCACATCGGCTAATTTAGAGAATGATCATATGTTTATAAACAAAGAATACTCTTTCCATTGGGGTGAGACCTTTCGGGGAAAGCCCAAAACAAAGCTATGAGAGCTTATGCTTAAAGTGGACAATATCATACCATTGTGGAGAGTCGTGTTCGTCTAACCTGATGTCGAACTTTCATCATCCAACAGTAGACATTGGTAGGATAAACTTAATCACATTAAGGCTTCAATTATTTGTTGCATAAATGCACTTCCTATGAAATAAAAGAAAAATGTAGCAGGAAGGGGTATATATGTAATTTGGCCCAGACAAAAAGTGGATCAAGAAATTATATATATATATAAAAGAATCTCCAACAGTAGCTGTATTTAATATTGAATAATTTTTAATTTATTTTACGAAAAATAATATCTAGGTTTTTTGTTCGGCTACTTTTGGAATTTAAATTAATTTCCTCGTTAAAAGGAAAATGGTCCCTTCTTCAACCAATCACTAATTTTCTATGAAAAAAAAAGAAAATAATACACTTAATTTTTAAATATCTTAATATTAAAAAAAAAAATAAATATTTATATATAAATATATAATATCTTGTAAAAGCCAGCTCTAACCTCACGTGTTAGACAAACAAGGGTCACTCTCACGTTCCAATCCATGCCATCACGCGCCAATTTTTTCTTTATTTTTTAAAAACTTTTTTAATAGTAAGTTTTTAAATAAAATAAGTTATAATAATTATACTAATTTTGTTAATTATTTAATAATAATATAAACCCATTTGAAAAATTAACTCATAAAATAAATTAATAATATTTAAACTTTAAAATATATTTTAAGAGAGCTAAAAATTTGGAAATAATAAGAATAAAAATTGTATTAGTACGGAACTAATGATTGTATTATTATTATTATTATTCATTGGTGAAGCTATCCCTAACCATCAACCGAACCGCCGGCTCGGATCCCGGACGGCACAATCCACGCGCCATCGCGCGTTTCCTTCAACTTTTAGAGGAAAAAAGAAAAAACCGGGAATCACCGTTTATAGGTAAACCTATATTCCCGGTAATGCCGGTAAACCCGGTGTCAATGTTCTACAATGCGCCGCCAGAACTTAGATCTAACGGTCCAGCGTGCATTATCCGTACACGCTTAACCGGGCCGTCAAACTTCGAAGACTGAAACAAAAGAGGGAAAAGAAAAGCTCGTCGGAGAGAGACAGATAAACGTTCAGATATCATTTCGCGGTAATCGCTTTACATTTTTTAGAGAGAGATTGGATTTTTTTGTAGAGAGAGAGAAGGCGGAGTTTTATTTCTGGTTTGTTTTTTTCCTCCTCGAGCTTTGTTTGATTGTTAAGGGAGCTTTGAAGATTGTCTCGAACTGTTCATACTTTTCTTTTCTTTTTTGAGGGAAAGAAGGCTAAAAGTTGTTGTTTTTGGTTTGGGTAAAGGAAGTTTTTCTTTCTACTGCTGAATTTTTTGTTTGGAATTTCTTTTTAGTTATTTTTAGAATCGAGGAATCGAGAATCTCTGCTAGGGTTTTGGGTATTGTTGTGTTGCGGACTACTTTTGAAAGTCTGGTATTGGACTTCTGTAGCGAATTGAAATGCCTGTTTGGAAGTGTAATTCGTCGGAAATTTAACTCCGATCTTGAAGTTTTTGGTTTCATCTTTCAATTGAAGTGCTGAATAAATGGACGTTGATTCGTCGATGGTACCGGAGGCCGATCACGATCCGGCGGTGCAGAATCACACCTCTGTTTCTGCTGCTGGTGGTGGAGTGGATAGGGATCAGCTTAGGGAGCAACCTCAAGCTTGCGGTGGAACTCCGCCGCAGTCTATGTCATCGCTTCAGCAGCAACAGACCGCCGTGCAGATACAGCAGAGCACGGTTGTAGGGCCAAGGCTCGCGCCTATGTACTCAGTAGTGAACGCGATAATTGAAAAGAAGGAAGACGGGCCGGGGCCCCGGTGCGGCCACACCTTGACGGCTGTGGGGTCTGTTGGCGAGGAGGGGACTCCGGGATACGTTGGACCGAGGTTAATATTGTTTGGTGGTGCCACTGCGCTCGAGGGCAACTCTGCTGCCTCAGGAACTCCATCATCAGCTGGAAGTGCGGGGATCCGTACGTTTTCTTTCCTCTTAATTATACTCTTCAATTGTTGAAGTTATGTTCGGAAAGTGGTTTTTGACGGTATGTGTTATATCACTGAGTCTTTTAAGCTCAAATTTCTCCTAGCTACTGGTAGCGTTGGTGGGGGTTGTTGCTTTGTTGATTGTTCTGTTAAAACCCTAGTTTCACCATTCCCCCAACCAGATTTAGTGTATTGGTGTATCGCAAGGAGTCTATCGTTTGAAGCACACCTGTACTGGAGTTGCACTCTTCTGGAACTTAAATGATGTGGTTTCTTGAAATTCAAATCTGCATTGGCATATGGGCAATTTGCAATCTAATTACCATTTCAAACATATCTAATCGGGAAGTTAAACCCTTCTGTTTTATTAAGGACGTGAGGTTGCTGGTTATGTTTGAATTTCTGATCCATTCTTCCTGTAATTTAATCTTTTGTAAAATTTCTTTGTGATTATTCAAAATACAAAAAAGAAATAAAAAAAAATTGTGACCCAATGGGGAAGTTATCGTCCAAGTAATTGTTGAATTTTAATTCCTGTTGGTTTAGTGTGCTAAGTTTCTTGTTCAGAAGGATGGATATAATTAAGGATTTAAGTTTCCATGTAAGTTAGTGATGCTTCGGTGGTTCTTTTGGATCTTATTGGACTTGGTTGTGCAACTGATATGTTTCAGCAAGTTTGTAGTTTACATAAGAGGCAAAGCTTGTCACTTTTTAATGCTGGGCGTACCATGTAATTTCCCTGGGTTTAGGGTATCAAATAGAGTGGATAAAACCTAATGCTGCCTCACGTTACTTCGGAAAATTGATCAATGCTGCCATTTTGTGACTTTTCTTTAACACACACTAGTTCACGTTGCACTTAAGTTGTTTCTTTCATTTATGGCCAATATTCTGTTGTCTATATCTCTGATAAATACTTTAATCTAGTGAAACTAATTTGTCTCGCAAGTATGCTATCTGCGTGCCAAAGAATTCAATTTTTGACTAGGTACAGCTCAAGATATTCAAACTGTTTTTTGGTTAATAAATTATGTTAGCAGAGCAGGCAGCTTTAATTCCACTTCAGTTCTGTAAGCTCCAGTTGGATCTCATGGGGTCAAATGTATAACAACTCTGCACATGGGTTTTGAACCAGAAATTTGCTTATGTTTAACGCTGTGAACTATGCTTATTTTGTATTTCCTGTGTTGCAGGGCTTGCAGGAGCCACCGCTGACGTGCATTGTTACGATGTTTTAACTAATAAATGGTCCAGGTAAGTCCAGACTTCATCCTTCCATCTCCCTTATCTTTATTTAACAAAACTTTCCTTGTCGAATATCTTGTAGAATTACTCCACTTGGAGAACCACCTACGCCAAGGGCTGCACATGTGGCTACTGCTGTGGGAACTATGGTAGTCATTCAGGTTAGCATTATGAAGTTTCTGATTTAATTTTGCATAATTTACGTGGTCATGGTTCTGTTAGTTCTTCATTATGTATTTCTTAACTTTGTTATGATGCAGGGTGGAATTGGACCAGCTGGTTTGTCTGCTGAGGATCTTCATGTTCTTGACCTTACACAGCAGCGCCCACGATGGCATAGGTTAGACTTTGATGATGTGCTTTATTCAATTTTAGATATTTTTATATGACATGCCTTGTATGACTATTTTCCTATAGAGTAGTTGTGCAAGGCCCTGGTCCAGGACCACGC